GGTAGTAGACAACCATCCCCAGCAGAAGAAGAACTGACAAAAAATGGCGGTGATCCAACGGCGGCAGCACTTGCACTTAAGCAACAGCATCAACAACAGGTAAGCATATATGTAAGTAACATTTTTTATACTATTTAGTAGAGTAGTACTTTGCATTTTCTTATACAGGGTGTTTCAGTTTATTGTTGCATAACTTTAAGATTCGATAGAACTTTTAAAATTAATATAAACATGGGTCGAAATATGCGTGGCTTCCGAAATACGGGGTGTTTAAATTTACTTTCTAAAATAGTTTTTTTTTAATATTTCGAACAATATTTGATGTATAATAGTGAAAATTGGTATACAAGGGTTTTTTGGTACGGCAAAACGAACCATGGGCATAGTTTTACTGTAGCCGCTAGAGGGCGCTCTTTACTGTACCTGTAGTGTATTAAAATAACCAAACATTTTTTCTTATTGCAATTTTTTGCTTTTTGAATAAAAATACAAATTCTTCGCACTTTTCAACATAAAAAAGCTCTTGTGTGAATTTTCGTTATAGTTAGCCGTTTTTGAGATATTTCGATTTTTAAGGTTCGATGCATTTTTAATTATTTATGATAAAATAACGTTAAAAAGTCAGTATCTCGATAATTTTTAGAAGTAGGCTGTGCCTGCAAATATTTTTGAAATTGAAAGCAGAATAAGGTTAAACGTCAATTAGTTGACAGTTAGTTTTGTTGTCTGTTGCAACCTGAAACGTTTTTTTGCAATTCTGAATGCACGAAATTTAGTTTCCCTTACCTGTTTTTTTTTTGTAAGTTTTATAAAAATGCCATTTTTATTCTCCAATCAAGAGTTAGCGGATATTCATTTTGTGTATGGCTTTGTAAATGGAAACGCAGCAGAAGCAGTCAGAGAATACGCACGATTTGTAAGAGTGCATCGCCAAATAATTGATAATGGTTTTGGAAATCTCCAAGGGGATCAAAACATAAATGTTCGTCAGCGCAGATTTACCCGTATGATTCTGCGTGAGTTTGATAGAGATCCGACCACAAGTATTAGGAGAGTTTCTGGTGCCTTGGGAATTTCAGCAAGCCATGTTCACCGTGTTCTTAGAATTGACCATATACGTCCTTACCATTTGCAACCTATACAAGGACTACAGCCAGGGGACGGAGAACGAAGAATCACATTTTGTCAGTGGATTCTTGATAGAACTGATAATAATAGGGAGTTTTTAAGTAACGTTTTACGGACCGATGAGTCATGCTTCACTAGACGTGGAGTGGTAAATTTTCATAATCAACATATTTGGTCGCATGAAAATCCGCATCCTGTTCGGGAAAGAAATTTTCAGCATGAATTTAGGGTGAACGTGTGGATTGGTATCTACCGTAATCGACTATTTGGACCCTACCTTTTGCCTGCAAGGTTAAATGCTGCGTCCTTCTTGGAATTTTTAAAGGCTGAACATGCAAATATGTGGGATGATGTTATTTTAGATTTAAGAAGATTGGCCGGGTTCCAGCTTGTTGGTTGTCCAGCTCATTATTCGCGAATAGTTAGAAACTGGCTGGACGAAAATTATCCAGAAAGATGGATCGGCCGTAGAGGACTAGTCGCCTGGCCTGCACTATCCCCTAACCTAAATCCATTAGATTTCTTTGTGTGGGGATTTCTAAAAGAAAAAGTGTACCAGACTCCCGTAACAACAAGAGATATGCTAATAGACAGAATCAGGAATGCATGTGATGAATTAAGGCCTTATTTGAATAATGCTATACCACGTTCGATCATTCGTAGATGTGAATTGTGTATTGCGTTTACATTTCGAACAACTACTTTAGGTTTTGTATGTTTGTCCTAACTATCCAATAGCATTTTAGTTGTAAATAATTAATTTAATTTGTTAAAAATAATATCGGAAAATTAAACAAATTAATATTCTGTTTTTTGTGCTTATTTGGAGTTAGGAATTATTGCTGTGTTTAAAAACACAATCTAAACGACCATTTTAATTACTTGTAATGCCCAAATCGAAAATGTAAAAAAAATATTATTTTCCCATAAATAATTCAAAATGCATCGAACCTTAAAAATTGAAATATCTCAAAAACGGCTAACTATAACGAAAACTCACAGGAGAGCTTTTCTACGCAGAAGAGTGCGAAGAATCAGTTTTTTTATTCAAAAAGCAAAAAATTGCACTAAGAAAATTTTTTCTGTCAGTTTAAATAGACTACAGGTACAGTAGAGAGCGCCCTCTAGCGGCTACAGTAAAACTATGCCCATGGTTCGTTTTGTCGTACCAAAAAACCCTTGTATACCAATTTTCACTGTTATACATCAAATATTGTTCGAAATATTTAAAAAACTATTTTAGAAAGTAAATTTAAACACCCTGTATTTCGGAAGCCACGCATTTTTCGACCCATGTTTATATAGATTTTATGCATTAATTTTAAAAGTTCTATCGAATCTTAAAGTTATGCAACAATAAACTGAAACACCCTGTATACTGTTTCCATGATCTGAAAAAGATCATTCAGATTTGCATGCATATGAAGGTTTATTAAAGTACCTATCTTAATTTCAAGGGATTTCTTGGGTGTTTCTAAGACGATTATATAAATATAAAACCGGTAACAGATACAACACAGGCCAACAAAAAACGATTTTGTTGAAATTTGCAAAAAATGAAATGCAGACAACGTCGAAAAACTGCATTTTCTCTTCAGTATCTTTCAGCAAATAATTTAACAGTGATCTTGAATTTGACCTTTACCTTCACCTTCAAGGTTAACTTACGGCAAACTTTACTTTTTCAATTTTCAATCTCGACAAACGAAAAAACATTTTACGTAAAACATAATTTAAGTCCAAGGTCAATAACTATTGAAGGTCAAATGAAGATCAAATATGTGCTGCTAGGAAAACCTCTATAAATCCCACAGGATGAGTGATGAAAATAACTATCAAGGTCAGGTATTTGACGATTTTTAACGAGAAAGTGAACGCTGACCTTGGATTTGACCTTGACGTTGACCTTCAAGCTTATTTCAAAGTCTTCTTTAAATAAAAATCCTTATTTTTAATGCCGGCAATCGAAATTTGCAAAAAATGAGATGCAGACAACGTCGAAAAACTGGATTAATTCTAATAAGGAAGACGCGATAATGAGACCCAAACCCTCCAAAGAGAAATAATCAACGGATTCAAACCGAGGAATCTAGATAGCGCTCATAAAGCGTCTTTATTAATTCATAATTCGAACAGTTACATTTTTGGTAACACGTGTGTCAAAAAAAAGTGTTTCTGGAAAAAGTAGCATTATCATAACTTTTTCCTCAGAATTATCTTTGGCCGCCGCCCATTCCCGTGGCCGTAAGAGGGATGTCCGCGAAGGGGCATTTCGGTAAATCGAAAATTGCATGTTGTAGCTAGATGGTGTCAGCCCTTTTCTTAAGGCGAGAATACACATGCCAGTAAAATAGCATGCCAGTGGCCAGTAACTTGTATGCTAACTACTTGTCCTACGACATCCCAGAATACACGTGCTAGTTTTGGATATGCCAGTCTGTGAAAACTTTCTTTTATCTTTAACTCTTGGTGGTAGGTTGTTCTTAGGTTTTTTATCTTATTTTTCATAAATTTCAATGTTAAATTGTTATCAGTCATTTGCTTCAATAAAGACTTGTAAGCGTTGTCTCTAGCGATTTTATTTTTATACAATGGAGATCATGTATTCCATAAACACGGATACTCCCTATACTGCATAACAAGCAATAAAGTCTTTTCGTCTCGCCAACGAGCCATTTTGCCCGGAACTAAACAAATAGTTCTATAGTTCAAGAATCCGTTTTTCACATGCGAGTTTCTGGTAACGATGTCGTTCACACACCTTTGAACATGACTACTGCTACTGGCACAGAAAAATCAAACGTCTTGCGATCTACTGGCGTGCTATCTTCTAGCGTGCTTTCTTGCTGGCAAAGAAAGTCACACATGCAAGTAGCAAGCACAATCCAGTAACTGGCATGCTTCTGTGCGTGTAACAAGCATGTGTATTCTCGCCTTTACGAGTAAGTTTCTCTTTTGTTCCAGGAACAGCTATCCGGCGGCGTATCCTCCGCCTCGCATCACCATCTGCACCACCACCTGCCAGTCGCATCGGCAGCCGCGGTGGCCGCCCAGGCCGCCCATCATCACCACCATCACCATTTGACGCCCCATCTCGGCGTCACGCTCGCCGATTCTGTCAATCAGCAATTCGCAGAACATTTCGCGGTAGTCGCGGCAGCCGCCGCCGCGTCCGGTCACCATCCCGGACACCATCAGGAACAACATCATACGGTGAGTCAATGTTCCTTTCAAGGCTCCGGTAATTAGACAATCGGTCAATCGATAGATGCTATAGAATGGGGGGAAAAGATCATTAAGTCCTCTAAGATTGCTCATTTGATGCAAAAAGTCCCGGAACAGCGCTGCATTTTCTCTTCAGTATCTTTCAGCAAAGAATTTAACGGTGACCTTGAATTTGACCTTTACCTTCACCTTCAAGGTTAACTTACGGCGAACTTTACTTTTTCAGTTTTCAATCTCGGCAATCGAAAAAACATTTTACGTAAAACACAATATAAGTCCAAGGTCAATAACTATTAAAGGTCAAATGAAGATCAAATATGTGCTGCTAGGAAAACCTCTATAAATCCCACAGGATGAGTGATGAAAATAACTATCAAGGTCAGGTCTTTGATAATTTCTAACGAGGAAGTGGACGCTGACCTTGGATTTGACCTTGACGTTGACCTTCAAGTTTATTTTAAAGTCTTTTTTTTCATGAAAATCCCTGTTCTTAATGCCGGCAATCGAAAGAGCGGAACATTATACATTTAAATATGAATTGAAGTCAAAGGTCAGGGTGTTATGTAAAGGTCAAATGTGTGCTGCTAAGGAAACCTTTATAAATTACTCACAAGATTAGTAATGAAAACAACCGTCATGGTCAGGTCTTTGGTAAATTTTAACAAGAAAGTGAACAATGATGCTGGATTTGACCTTGATCCTCACCTTCAAGATCATTTCAGGGCCGAATTAATTTTTTGATTCCAAATCCCTATTTTTGATGCCGGCAATCAAAACAACAGCATTTGACGTTAAAACGCAATTAAATTCCAAGGTCAGAATGGCTACTAAAAGTCAAATGAAGATCAAATATGTGCTGCTAGGAAAACCTCTATAAATCGTACAGGATGTTTAAGGTTCGGTCTTTGGTAATTTTTCACGAGGAAGTGAACGCTGACCTTATTTTTTCAATGAAAACGTGTATATTTAATGCCGGCAATGGAAAGAACGGAATATTTTATGTTTAAATACGAATTGAAGTCCAAGGTCAGGGTGCTGTCTAAAGGTCAAACGTGTGCTGCTACGAAAACCTCCAGATTTCACAGAATTATTAATGGAAATAGGTATCAGGGTCAGGTCTGTGATCAATTTTGACTAGTGATCTTGGATATGACCTCGACCTTCACCTTTGAATGTTATTGCAAAAGTCAACTTTATTTTTTTAATGAAAATCCCTATTTTTGATACCGGCAATCAAAAGAGCGTACCACTTTACATTCAAACACGAATTGAAGTGCGAGGTCAGGGTATTATTTAAAGGTCAAACGTGTGTTGCTAGGGGAAATTTCTATAAATCTCACAGAATTAGTAATGAAAACAGCCATCATGGTCAGTTATTTGGTTAATTTTAACGAGGGAGTGAACGATGATGTTGGATTTGACCTTGATCCTCACCTTCAAGGGCATTTCAAGGTCGACTTTATTTTTTTAAAGGTCATCCCTATTTTTAATGCCGACAATCGTTCAAACATTCAAAGTCAAAGGTCGTGGTGACTACTAAACGTGAAATGAAGATCAAATGTGTGCTGCTAGGACAACCTCTATAAATCCTACAGGATGAGTGATGAAAATAACTATCAAGGTCAGAACTTTGACAATTTTTAACGAGAAAGTGAACGCTGACCTTGGATTTGACCCTGACGTTGACCTTCAAGTTTATTTCAAATGAAAATCCCTATTTTTAATGCCGGCAATCGAAATAGCGGAACATTTTACATTCAAATATGAATTGAAGTCGAAGGTCAGGGTGTTATGTAAAGGTCAAATGTGTGCTGCTAAGGAAACCTTTATAAATTACTCACAAGATTAGTAATGAAAACAACCGTCATGGTCAGGTCTTTGGTAAATTTCAACAAGAAAGTCAACGATGATGCTGGATTTGACCTTGATCCTCACCTTCAAGATCATTTGAAGGTCGAATTAATTTTTTGATTCCAAATCCCTATTTTTGATGCCGGCAATCAAAACAACAACATTTGATGTTAAAACGCAATTAAAGTCCAAGGTCAGAATGGCTACTGAAAGTCAAATGAAGATTAAATATGTGCTGCTAGGAAAACCTCTATAAATCTTACTGGATGTTCAAGGTTCGGTCTTTGGTAATTTTTCACGAGGAAGTGAACGCTGACCTTATTTTTTCAATGAAAACCTGTATATTTAATGCCTACAATGGAAAGAACGGAATATTTTATGTTTAAATACGAATTGAAGTCTAAGGTCAGGGTGCTGTCTAAAGGTCAAACGTGTGCTGCTACGAAAACCTCCAGATTTCACAGAATTATTAATGGAAATAGATATCAGGGTCAGGTCTGTGATCAATTTTGAGTAGTGATCTTAGATTTGACCTCGACCTTCACCTTTGAAGGTTATTCCAAAAGTCAACTTTATTTTTTTAATGAAAATCCCTATTTTTGATGCCGGCAATCAAAAGAGCGGACCACTTTACATTCAAATACGAATTGAAGTGCGAGGTCAGGGTATTATTTAAAGGTCAAACGTGTGTTGTTGGGGGAAATTTCTATAAATCTCACATAATTAGTAATGAAAACAACCATCCTGATCAGTTATTTGGTTAATTTTAACGAGGGAGTGAACGATGATGCTGGATTTGACCTTGATCCTCACCTTCAAGGGCATTTCAAGGTCGACTTCATTTTTTGAAAGGTCATCCCTATTTTTAATGCCGACAATCGTTCAAACATTCAAAGTCCAAGGTCGTGGTGACTACTAAACGTGAAATGAAGATCAAATGTGTGCTGCTAGGACAACCTCTATAAATCCCACAGGATGAGTGATGAAAATAACTATCAAGGACAATTTTTAACGAGAAAGTGAACGCTGACCTTGGATTTGACCTTGACGTTGACCTTCAAGTTTATTTCAAAGTCTTTTTTAAATGAAAATCCCTATTTTTAATGCCGGCAATCGAAACGGCGGAACATTTTACATTCAAATATGAATTGAAGTCGAAGGTCAGGGTGTTATGTAAAGGTCAAATGTGTGCTGCTAAGGAAACCTTTATAAATTACTCACAATATTAGTAATGAAAACAACCGTCATGGTCAGGTCTTTGGTAAATTTTAACAAGAAAGTGAACGATGATGCTGGGTTTGACCTTGATCCTCACCTTCAAGATCATTTCAAGGTCGAATTAATTTTTTGATTCCAAATCCCTATTTTTGATGCAGGCAATTAAAACAACAGCATTTGACGTTAAAACGCAATTAAAGTCCAAGGTCAGAATGGCTACTAAAAGTCAAATGAAGATCAAATATGAGCTGCTAGGAAAACCTCTATAAATCGTACAGGATGTTTAAGGTTCGGTAATTTTTAACGAGGAAGTGAACGCTGACCTTATTTTTTCAATGAAAACCTGTATATTTAATGCCGGCAATGGAAAGAACGGAATATTTTATGTTTAAATACGAATTGAAGTCCAAGGTCAGGGTGCTGTCTAAAGGTCAAACGTGTGCTGCTACGAAAACCTCCAGATTTCACAGAATTATTAATGGAAATAGGTATCAGGGTCGGGTCTGTGATCAATTTTGACTAGTGATCTTGGATTTGACCTCGACCTTCACCTGTGAAGGTTATTGCAAAAGTCAACTTTTTTTTTAATGAAAATCCCTATTTTTGATGCCGGCAATCAAAAGAGCGGACCACTTTACATTCAAATACGAATTGAAGTGCGAGGTCAGGGTATTATTTAAAGGTCAAACGTGTGTTGCTAGGGGAAATTTCTATAAATCTCACAGAATTAGTAATGAAAACAACCATCATGGTCAGTTATTTGGTTAATTTTAACGAGGGAGTGAACGATGATGTTGGATTTGACCTTGATCCTCACCTTCAAGGGCATTTCAAGGTCGACTTCATTTTTTGAAAGGTCATCCCTATTTTTAATGCCGACAATCGTTCAAACATTCAAAGTCCAAGGTCGTGGTGACTACTAAAGATGAAATGGAGATCAAATGTGTGCTGCTAGGACAACCTCTATAAATCTCATAGGATGAGTGATGAAAATAACGATCAAGGTCAGGTCTTTGATAATTTCTAACGAGGAAGTGGACGCTGACCTTGGATTTGACCTTGACGTTGACCTTCAAGTTTATTTCAAAGTCTTTTTTAAATGAAAATCCCTATTTTTAATGCCGGCAATCGAAAGAGCGGAACATTTTACATTCAAATATGAATTGAAGTCGAAGGTCAGGGTGTTATGTAAAGGTCAAATGTGTGCTGCTAAGGACACCTTTATAAATTACTCACAAGATTAGTAATGAAAACAACCGTTATGGTTAGGTCTTTGGTAAATTTTAACAAGAAAGTGAACGATGATGCTGGATTTGACCTTGATCCTCACCTTCAAGATCATTTCAAGGTCGAATTAATTTTTTGATTCCAAATCCCTACTTTTGATGCCGGCAATCAAACAACAACATTTGACGTTAAAACGCAATTAAAGTCCAAGGTCATAATGGCTACTAATAGTCAAATGAAGATCAAATATGTGCTGCTAGGAAAACCTCTATAAATCGTACAGGATGTTTAAGGTTCGGTAATTTTTAACGAGGAAGTGAACGCTGACCTTATTTTTTCAATGAAAACCTGTATATTTAATGCCGGCAATGGAAAGAACGGAACATTTTATGTTTAGATACGAATTGAAGTCCAAGGTCAGGGTGCTGTCTAAAGGTCAAACGTGTGCTGCTACGAAAACCTCCAGATTTCACAGAATTATTAATGGAAATAGGTATCAGGGTCAGGTCTGTGATCAATTTTGACTAGTGATCTTGGATTTGACCTCGACCTTCACCTTTGAAGGTTATTGCAAAATTCAACTTTATTTTTTTAATGAAAATCCCTATTTTTGATGCCGGCAATCAAAAGAGCGGACCACTTTACATTCAAACACGAATTGAAGTGCGAGGTCAGGGTATTATTTAAAGTTCAAACGTGTGTTGCTAGGGGAAATTTCTATAAATCTCACAGAATTAGTAATGAAAACAACCATCATGGTCAGTTATTTGGTTAATTTAACGAGGGAGTGAACGATGATGTTGGATTTGATCTTGATCCGCACCTTCAAGGGCATTTCAAGGTCGACTTCATTTTTTGAAAGGTCATCCCTATTTGTAATGCCGACAATCGTTCAAACATTCAAAGTCCAAGGTCGTGGTAACTACTAAAGGTGAAATGAAGATCAAATGTGTACTGCTAGAACAACCTCTATAAATCTCATAGGATGAGTGATGAAAATAACGATCAAGGTCAGGTCTTTGGTAATTTTCAACGAGGAAGTGAACGTCGATCTTGGGTTCGACCTTGAAATTCATCTTTAAGGTTCTTTCAAAGTCAACATTATGTTTTTAGAAGGTCAGGGTGTTATCTAAAGGTCAAATGTGTGTTGCTAGGAACCTTTATAAACCTCACAGGATTAGTAATGAAAACAACCATCGTGGTCAGGTCTTTGATAAATTTTAACGAGGTCGACTTCATTTTTTAATGGAAACCCATATTTCTGATGCCGACAATCGGAAGCGCGGAAAAGTTTACGTTCATACACAAATTGAAGACCAAGGTCATGGTGGCTACTGAAGGTCAAATGAAGATCAAATGTGTGGTGCTAGGAAAAACTATAAATCTCACAGAACTGGTAATGAAAATAAGTGTCAGGGTCTGGTGTGTGATAAATTTTGGCGAGTGATCTTGGATTTGACCTTGAACTTCACCCTAAAAGTCACTTCAAGGTCATGTTTGTGCAAATAGAAACCGGCAGGAACAGTACCGGTTAAAAATGATTTGTAACGAGCACCGTAGCTCGCTCGCGCGAAATTATACGTAAGTTCACTTGAAAAACGTTTCCATTGGAGTGTATTCTGCTTCAGAGTTGATGAAAAAAATGTCATCCTTTCTTTCTTTGCAGCAACAAGGACAGAGCAACAACCTTTACGACCAGAGTGGACAACAGTACGCGCCCCCGCCCCAGCCACACCAAGTGGACAGTGCGGTTCTGCAGCAACAGCAGCACAACTTCGATGTACAGGTGAGCGACCTTGAAATTTTTTTTTCAATTTTTATATCAATCGATTATATTATATACAGGGTGACCCAACAAGAAGGTCGCTCGGACACGTCAATTTTTATTTCTACGGCGTCTTTTCATCTATAGCCGTACATTACAGGATGATCCAAAAATAAGATATTGCGTTACATTTTAGATTTTTAAATGGAAACCCCATTTCCTTTCAATTTTTAGATTTCCCATGAAGTTTTTTGTAACTTTTTTATAATAAAGTTTATCTTCAATCGTTGTGAAGGTATTTGGGTTTATAATAAAAAAATAATAATCACCGATACTAGCAAGAACATTTAGCATCAGTAAGGGTTATCGTATGTCATTTCAAATTGTCCTACCTAGTGATGATAAATATTGAACAATGACTTATTCAATTCAAGAAAGGGTAAAAATAACAAAACTCTTTTACCAAAATGGGAGCATTGCAAGAGCTACTGCCCGGTTGTTTAATGCGTTACATCCCGACAAAAATAACGATAAGTATGTGGCTTCAGTTTTCTGTCACTCAACGAAAGTACTATGAATTTTCTTAGCGGCATTTTGATGATACGCAACTTGTCCCTATTTAAGCGAGATCCCAATAGTGAGGGTCTAATTTGAAACACCCTGTATAGCAGTATGCCTATTAATATGAGAAACGGATAAAGAAATAATTTACACAAAGTAACCGTAAAATATAATCGTACGTTTTCCGAAGAAAAATAACGCATAAAATATATATTTGTGAACAGCTGGTGGAAGGCCAAAAAATGCCAAAGGAAACATATGTTCGAATAAAGTTCCTTTATGGCCCTTTTTATGTCTTTCCGTTACGGAGATGTGTGTTACACAAAGGGAAAAAGGGATTCCGTGTCATTTGTTCTAACTTTCTGGAGGGTAACATACCTGTAGTAATAATTTAGGTACGTTTTATAATATATTTTATGAATAATGTATATAGTCAGGGCAAACCACTAATAAAAATTGTATACACCAACTTCCACGAAAAAAAATTATATCCAAGTTTGCTCTGGAATGATTAAGGTGATTTTAGCAAATCGCGAATCATAATTTTGTGGCATTAATATATTAAAATGTTTCACCAATAAGCAACCACAAATATGACATCTTAAGTTATTTCTTGCTAACGGAAAGAAAGAATTTAATTTGTTGTCGTTTTTCTTTGTGACAATCTTGGGATAGTGAAAATTAATTTATTGATTCAGATTTGACTTCAAAAATGGTTTACGCACTAGCCGAAAGAGTGGAAATGATTCTAATCTCCCTAAATAGAATGGCCTGCTAGATCTCCTGATTTGACTCCATTAGACTTTTTTCTATGGGGCTATTTGAAATCTATTGTGTTTACTCCACATCCTGAAAGTTTGGATGAACTTCGTCAACGCATCATCGAAAGTTGCCATGATATCCCACAATATGTTTTTGAAAATGTCCGTCAGGAATTTGAACATCGCCTATGTCATTGTTTGGCCAATAACGGGAAACATTTTGAACGGTTATTGAAATAAAAAATGATATTTTCATGTGTTTTTGTTTTCTATGTGAACAAATTAAGATAGATAAATATTTTTCTAAATAAATCGACCGATTTTAAGAAATCAAACTTCAAAATAAAGGTCTTCGAAAGACCTTTTCAAGCTATTACTCGATACTCCTTGTCATTTAAAATTCTTAAGGAGATGACCCTTGGGGGCAAAGACAAAGTAGTTTTTGATTAAAACGTTGTCCCCCTTGATAAACATCTTGTGTTTTTTCTTTTAACTGGTCTATTTCGATAAATCCGTGGTGGTAAGTTTTTTTTGATATGTATGTATGTTTGAGTTACTGTTTACTGCCACGTTCCGGCCATCACGGTGACCGTTTTCAAGTACAATCGAAAATTTTGCTGACATCGTTGTGTTTATCTGTCTTTCAGGTGACAGGTAAAAAATATAATCTTTGTCGCTTAGGTTTTTCGGGCTGTTGAGCCGTGGTCGGGTTGGAGTTGATCAACAGCCCGAAAGACCTAAATGACATTAGAATTAGCCGTGAAAGCCTCATATAAGCTTTGTTAAATCTCAATTGATAAAAAATCCAGTAGTAAAAAACTAACAAAACCGCATCGCGCTATGTAGGGTGGATTTCACCAAGGTTGACAAATTAATAGTCCGTTTTTCTCCAACTAGCGTAACAGTTCGTCAAATACAGCGAATGAGATTCAACATCGAATCAACAAATTTCAGCAACCGATACTTATGAAATGTTGAAAACAAAATATTGTCAAAGTATGAGGTGACAGCTTGTCATTGAAACATCACCAGCTTATTGAATATTAAGAAGTTGCATATAATTCAGTCAAAATTTTAAGAAATGTTAGATTTTTGAATAAAATTTATGTTTTAGTTACTATTGTTGATTTTTTATTCATGTTTATGTTATTTTCAATTGATATGCGATTTTACTAATTTAACATCACCTCCCGTGTTTTTTTTCCTATAAACATCTTACAAAAAATTTCATAGATATTGCTATTCCAAACATTCATTCATTAACTTGCCGTTCAGAAGCATTATGGCACCTTAGATTGATATTCCCACAAAACCGTTCAGGATTTTTGATATCCATACATCCAAGTTGAATATTTCTCGTTGTTCAGGAACTAAACAAACATCCACACTATATTCACAGCGATTAAGAAATTCCCAAATATATGCCTTAAAGCTACCAGCAAACCTAAAACCTGCAAAAAAACTAGAAATTTGCTAAGACTATACATGAAATTTTTCCCAAAATCGTTACACATCGCTTGAAGCAAATGAAAATTTAAAATTATTTTCATAACGCCCCAAAATAGCCCCGTCGGTTTATACATCTTGACAGTAGGGATGTTCGATACGATCCTATATTTAATAATAATAATATCGTCTTTCTTTACAAAGATCCAGAGTGCGATTCATTATGGCGAAGTTTATCTAAAGCTACTCTTACACTTAACCATATGAATACGAAAAAAAAGATGGTACAAGAGAGACAAAAAAAAAATAAAGTTTGGCTATTACAATGTCATGACAGTATTGAACGCAGTTCAATCAAACAAGCAACTAATTTAAATGTCTACAAGCATATGTGCCCATAAACTAAGGTATAAATGTATTATTAACAAAAATTAGATAAAGAAGAAACATTATAATGTAGAGTTCTGTAAGTATAGCCTAACTTGCTTTAGAAGTACCGATACTTTTGCGTCCCATACCCGATATCTTGGATCGATATTTTTATATACGACACTTGGGTGTATCGATACATTTCACGAGTATCGTCATCTTTCGATCCGGACTGTGTCAGAAAGAGCGACTAACTTCAGATTACTTTTCTTCCTTGTCTCCTTCCGCTGGATATCGATAATTTTATTCCAATATTTTAGAGTATCGATACTCCCTAAAACTATAAGAATCGATACATATCGATACTTTTCGTGGATCGAAACATCCCTAATCTTGACAGCTTGTCGTTGTCAACTGGGCTACAGGGTGCGGTGTTGCCTTTACTATCTTACATTTTGCTAAAATCTTATGACAAATAAAAGCTTAAAATGAAATATTGACGAATATGAACGGATATGCATAGAAAGAATATAAATTCATATTGCAAATTTCAGATTGTCTATGCATGGACTTGAACCGGATTTTTTGGTATTTTTACCGAAAAGAGAATATTTACCGATAACATCATTCTATACAATATTCTATACTAGCCGAAAAAGAGCTGAAACCAAAAATAAAGCTAGAAGCTTTTTTGTGGCTTTTATAGTCTTATGCCCCATATCAGTCATACATATGCATACACACTCAGGCAGTGAGGCACATGAGAGGCGTAGATTTGGGTTGCCTATGATTACGAACGCACATCCTCATCCTTTACTCCGCTTGCCCTGACTTGATTTTTGTGCATACAAAAGGTACAGACTGGTAGATTACCGTCATTACCTCATCACCGGACAAGCAGTCAAGAAACCGAAACCTGTCTGTTTTCATAATAAATATTTAACTAAAATGAGAGGTGACTTCATGAGTTCAGGGGTAAAAAAAATATTCACAATCCTATAAGCAAAAATGGAAAAAGGAGTTTCCAGAATGGTTGCAAATTACTTTGAAAGAGCGATCAGAGTTCCCATTGTAGAAGTTCTAATATAGACCTATGCCCTCAAAAAACAAGTTGTGTGCGCGCCCAAAATAATAACAGACGTTTTTCGTGACTCAAAGGTCGTTGATCTACCACTGATTTTGAGACGGCATTTTCCTGATACCGAATTCAACGACACTATTTGCCGGTTCGGCAACACTGCAGATGGGCAGATCACTTTAAAAGCAATTGATATCCCAGACGTGTTATAATAATAGAAATAAGAAATTATAACAATGTTTGGAAATATATTTTCATAAATAGTTATTTTTGATTCTGACATAATATTTAGACGATGAATAATAGATGGATGCGGATACTTTTACAAATATCAATGTTGTTTTAGGACCCAGAAATGCAGAATGTGCTGTTTGTTTACATTTGGTGTGGATTTCTACATCATAAATTGGCAAAAATTGTTTTTGATGTAACAAAAGATGTTGAACCAGTTGGAATACGTTTTATATCCTTGTTTTTTTGCAAAATTACAAAAATCGGTACATTTCTACAGGTACGGATTATGACCAACACCCTGTACGTAATATACAGACAAAACTATACTATAACTATCTAAAACTGTAATGACTCATCGATGTTCACGTGAAAATCACTTAAATACCAGTAGTCGGCTGTTCATAGGCGGGGTATGAATGTTTAACATGGGTGAACTAGATTTGTCACATGTTTAATAAAGAGTGGTTTGAAACATATTGTAAGTCAAAAATTTGGGAATTACCTTTATTCATCGTCGCTTCCACTTACATCTTTTAGTAATAAACTGTCGCTATCGCTTTCCTCGTTGAAAT